ACAAATTAAACGTATTTTTTTTTTTTTAATTTTCACTTTTTGCAGGAATTATGGCGAGCAACAATAACAAGTATGGAGAAGTTGGTCGTATTACCACCGTTTGATAATAAAGCAGTATAGTTTTCTTTTTTTGTTTCTTCAACTTTCCTGTTTAGAAATTTCAATTTGTACTCTTGATCAATCGTTATTTATTGATTTTTTTTTACAAAAATAATTCTGAGAAGTCCTTCTTGTTGAGTGACAGAAATGAATATCATATGATAAAGAATTATTGATAGCCAGAAGATTTTATTCATCGATGACATTATTAGACAGTATCAACGAAACAAAAGAATAACTTTGGGTGATGACCGTTGGTGGAGTTAAGTTGACGACTGCTTCCATTTGAGTGACTGCATGCTCCGTCACTTGAATAACTCCCAATAATTATCCGAGCTCTTTATACTCTTTATAGCTCTTTATAGCTATATATATAGCTCTTTATAGTGGGAGTGATTTGCAGCTTTTCAAACACTACACATATATTTAGTTATAAGATCAAAAGTTTTTCGTGTTTACAAATTTCCGGACATTGCAGATGAGCTTGATTATTAGATCAAAGATTACTTCCTCAATGCAGATAGGCTTATTCAACAAATGGGGGGAAATTTGCAATAAAAGGCTTTGTTACGAGATTTGAACACTGGAATTAAGATTGATTAACAATTTAAAAAATGAAAGCTGGACAAATACATTACTTAAATTATCCAAGAGTTTTATTTGTAGTTTTTGTGTAATGAATTACATCTCTAAGAAATATTTGAATAAGACAACCTTCATTCTGCAATTTTCTATACTTTGTATTTATACAAAAATACTTTAATTATTTCGGATTTTCGGGCATTTCCCGTCTTAAGGTACTCAAAATTTGAACTTGAATTTTTCCTTTTTTTGCATATATTAAGAATTATGAAATTTAAATACAATCTCACAAATAATTTTATCATCAGGTTGATATTAAATTTGGGATGTTATTAGTATATTGGTTTATTTTAGATTTTGAAGCAGCTACCAAATGCGGAAGTCTTCTGTGATATGACAAAATTAATGTCAACGCATTTGAAAGAAGTGAAGAATATAAGTTCCGTGAAAGAAATGATGGTAAATGAATCATTTCAGTGATACATTCTCCTATGATTTTTTTTGCACAATTTTCATTCCATTAAAGTATCAAAATTTTTTCAAATATGATTTAAGTGTACTAATAGTAGTGATTATTAAAATAATTTTCTCGAATAATTTAGGATATTGCTCGAGAATATGAGCGTTCTTTAACCCCAAAACAATGTACAGTATTGGATGCAGCACTAGATGCGGTAAAAGAATGTTTTCATGCAGGTGGTCAAGGTTTGAAGAAATCGTTTTTCGAGAAATCTCCCGAATTGCAGTCATTGAAATATGCTTTATCATTGTATACTCAAACTACCGAACAACTCATCAAAACATTTATTACCAGTCAGAAGCAGCAAGGTTGGGTTTGTTTATTTGTTTACTTTCTTGTTCTATTTACTGTTAATATCAAACGATTTATGATTAGATTTCGCAATAAATTCAATCTAATGATATAGAGATGATGACAAAAGGACACTGCGATGACATAGAACATAAAATTCCTTGGAAGTTTTTATGCAAGCCAGAAAAATAATACTACTAGGTGACTAAACTTCATTCACCGCGGGTGAATTTTAACAAATGTATTGTGTAAGTAAATTATTCAGATTTTAAGTTCCATATTCCTTTTACGCTTACAGATGTGCTTCATATGCAGTTTTGATGTTGTTAACATAACTATTTAGTGTTACTCTAACTTATATGATGTTATTCTTTTCTGCTAATTTATTTACCTATTTTCTTCTTTTCTTTACCATTTTTATATCTAAAATCTGATCCTTTCATTGATTAATTTTAATTAAAATCATTTAATCTTTTATAGTTCAAATTTAATATCTAAATTTTCAAAACTTGGACATCAACTTCAATTTCTTGGAATTGAACTTGAATTCACATTTTTGAAAATTAAACTTTCTAAAGTTTGATTGCTACATATTGAAGTTTTCTAGTATCACTTTCCAGATCTTCCTTCACAAGAGCAGCCGGTTGGAGAAGTAAGCATTCAAGTGGATCTTTTCACGCATCCAGGAAGCGGTGATCAAAAAGTTACCGTTAAAAGTAGGTTTCATTAGGAATACTACAGTTTCATCATTTGTTACCACTTTTTTTGTTAATTATTTACCATTATCAGAGCATGTAAGTCTTTTTCATTCACTCCTATTTAGGTACTTAAGTCTTACGCATGTATACTTATTCAATTCTTATCGCCAAAGAATTTCACATAAAATTTGTGAGAATAATTTCCGAATAAAAGTTGAAAACTTTCATATGCTTGTTATATTTCATTTAGTTAAATTTTCGTAAAAAAAAGCATAAAAAGAAATTTTCATTTTTAAAATTTTATATAATTATGGATTTTAAACCTGTTTGTTACATAAAAATGCATCATTTATTTCATTTTTAAAGATTTACTCTTTCCGAACCTCTTGGTCATATGACCTAAAACTATTTCGGGCTTGGGTAAGCTTCTTTTTGTTATGCAAAAGAAAAAAATGCGAAATAATGAAGAAATCTACTATTAATGAAATTTTTAAAAGAATTCGAAAAAACAAAATAGAATGGAAAATTTTTTTTTTTTCTTGCAGTATTGGCAGCAAATGATTTACGATGGCAAACAGTAAGTACCTTCAAACCATTTGTTGAAGTACATCTGGTTGGGCCACATTTGGCTGATAAGAAACGCAAAATGGCAACAAAATCAAAAAAGTGGCAATTGGGCACCAAAATTCAATGAAACATTTCACTTGTAAGTATGGAGAAAATTTTAAAAAAGTAAATGATTAATGAAAAAAGGGAAAGTAATCCATTTGACAATTTTTGTGAAATTTTGAAGTGAAAAAAGGATATAAAAAACTTTCCGTTTCCCTTTTTTAATCGGTCAAAGAATTGGAAAATTTTTTCATCATATTTCAGAAATTAAACTTTAACAATTATCACTCAGGAAAAAAAGTTAGACGTACGTGTTAAAATTTTTCATAAGCTTTCATAAACATTCATAAGTTTCCTTATCTTATCAATCACGAGATGATACATCTTAAATTGATGCTATTGTAGCTTTCTTGGTAATGAAGGTGAACCAGAACATTGTGAGCTTATGTTCCAAGTGAAGGATTACTGTTTCGCACGTGAAGATCGTATTGTTGGCGTTGGCGTGCTGCAATTAGCCAATATGGTAGAGCAAGGATCATGCGCTTGTTGGGTACAGCTTGGCCGACGATTTCATATCGATGAAACAGGTCTCATTTTACTCAGGTATGTTAATTTTCATTCATTACAAAAATCTCTAATCATTCAATGATAATAATAAATTCTCAAAAGAGATTTGAATTTCAAGTAATTATCAACTACTTCATAATTCTCATAACTTTAGGATATTGAGTCAACGTCAAACCGATGAAATAGCTCGAGAATTTGTACGTTTAAAATCAGAATGTCGTTATGAGACTGAATCAACTATTGCGGCATCAATGAGCAATCAACAATTAGCAGCAACTCGAGTTGGTTAAGTACAATATGGAATGGGAAGCATTTTACTTTTTTGATTACAGATCCAATCTATACATATTTATTTTTCAAAAACAAAGTCATTGTTACACTAATTTTGTAAGAATTGTTAATAATATTTGGAAGAAAAAAAAAGGACGATGAAATCACTTGAATGTTTGTATCATTGAATTGCTCCGATATTGTTTATTGATCAAAAAAAAACGTTAAACTTTGACCTCTTTTTGCTTTTTGACTTCAAAGATGAATGTCATGACTTTTTGATGCTCTAAATTATACTGGTTTTTTTCTTTTAATTTCATTTTTCGATTTCTTTTAAATTTGCTGTGTTCATACCACAACAATTTTGGTAGCCATAGTAGACGAACTAACTATTTTTTCATAGTAAATTTCATGTCTAATTTTATGTCTAATCTTCGCAGATGGCTAAGTGAAAGATGAACCAAACTATCTTTCGTTTATTAATTTTGCAAAAATTTTAATCCTTTGACATTGCTCAAAAAATAAAACATGAAATTATGATGGAAGTGGGCTAATTATTAAGTGAATTCATGAACTGATAGGTGTGAATAAATAAATAAATAAAAGTGATTGTTTACATAGATAGACATCTAATTGATAATATCAGAGCAATTCTACAATGTATAATATTGCTGTATTATTTGTTACTTTCTTATCATTCTTTTTATTTCATTTTTATTGGCTGTAGTCACTTATTGAAGAATTTATTCAAATCTATTCAGTTTTTACGTAATTAAATTTATAAATTCATTATTGTTATTATTTCTATTATTGTTATTATTATTATTATTTTGATTATTACTATTATTATTTTTATTCATTGTTATTATTATTTTTATTATTATTTTGATTATTACTATTATTATTTCCATTATTGTTATTATTATT